GGCCCCCGCCACTGAAAAGATAATGAGGACCTACACAGTACACACCCCTCCCCCGGAAAAATTTCTGCATGCGCCCCTCTATAAGTTATGTACAAAAAAAAAGAAATTGCTCCGTGTACACTGTATTATGTTTTATAACACTGTGTTGATGGAATGGTTTTGAGCTTTGTTTTTAAACATTCGAAGTTTATTTTTTGTTTTTTAAAAGTGTTGTATAAGAATTTGAAATTAAATTTTCTTTAAGTTTGCCTTTATTAAATTTTGCAAATATTTTTCTCTGAACAAAGATATAAAATGATACTTTGAAATATCAAAGGTTTACACAACCAGGTTGAAAAGATATGGCGATTGTAAAATCATAATTTGTGGCAAAAACTCAGTTCCTTTGGGTGTCTTTTTCTTGTGCGTTAAATAGAAACTAGAAGAGCTACGAGTTCAGAAAGTTGTACCAGTAATATCGCATTAATTTGACCTTCGTTTTGTCTAGTCTATTTATAGTTTGCATTCATTAGGATAATGTTACATAATCATACTTTTTACAATCGTTCAATAGTATTTTCCAAATGCTAATGTTACATATCGCACAAATGAAGGTGTTTCGTTCAATATATATAATAACTGACAATAAAAGAATCTAATAAAAATAAAAAAATAACAGTTTTGCACAATTCTAGATGACTTTGAAATATGGTCGAGTTCTAGATAATTCTAGATTGTGATACAAACAATAATAGATCATTCTTAAGTGAGACACAGTTATAGATAATTTTTCATTAATATAAACTTCTAGAAAACTCTTGAGTTTTAAGAAGTCTTGAGAATAATACAATTTTAGAAAATTCTAGAGAATGATACAATTCTAGATAATTCTAGAGAATGATACAATTCTAGATAATTCTAGAGAATGATACAATTCTAGATAATTCTAGAGAATGATACAATTCTAGATAATTTATGATTGTGATAAAATTCTAGATAATCTTTTAGTATGATACACTTCTAGATAGTTTTAAGTATAATTTAATTCTAGATAATTCTTTATAATGATACAATTCTAGATAGTTCTTGAGTATGATGGAATTCTATATAATTCTTTATAATGATACAGTTCTAGGTAATTCTAGGGTGTGATACAATTCTAGATAATTCNAAAATACCTCCAAAATGTGATGCAGTTTCAGACTGGAATTACGCTTCCAACAGTACTTAGACTGATTTGTCGAAGCGTTTACACCGTGTTTTTGCTGACTATTCAAATTAACGAAAATACAAGAAAATTTTATTTCAACGAGTTTTTACACATAGTAAAGTTTATGACTTGAAGCTTTTTAACACATGCGTAGAAGAAGGAAACTGCACGTTGCACTGAACAGTGCAGTACAGCGGGAATTTTGTAAAACAAAATGCGTACTGCACTCACTGCATACGTACGAGTTCATTAAAGAGATGCTTTTTAGTTGGAAATATAAAAATGTTAAATTAGTATGTCTAGTTGCTGGTTTTAAAACTGAGATTACCAGGGGCGCATACAGGAGAGGGACGAAAGAGGCTAACCCCCCCCCCCTCCCAGAAAAGTGAAAACTATTGTCCCCAGGGGGTCTTCAGCCGGCCCCCGCCACTGAAAAGATAATGAGGACCTACACAGTACACACCCCTCCCCCGGAAAAATTTCTGCATGCGCCCCTCTATAAGTTATGTACAAAAAAAAAGAAATTGCTCCGTGTACACTGTATTATGTTTTATAACACTGTGTTGATGGAATGGTTTTGAGCTTTGTTTTTAAACATTCGAAGTTTATTTTTTGTTTTTTAAAAGTGTTGTATAAGAATTTGAAATTAAATTTTCTTTAAGTTTGCCTTTATTAAATTTTGCAAATATTTTTCTCTGAACAAAGATATAAAATTTTGAATAATGTAGAAATAGCAAACTAGATGTAGCATGCAATTTTGATTCTTATGCAGTCTCTAAAAAGTCTAAACATCTTAAATGTTTAAAAACTGATGCCAAAACGATTCCTATCGGTGAATAGCAGAAGCATATTAATGCAAAAAATGTTAACATGTCAAAATTTTAATAACTAGATGGATAACAACATAGAATATAACTAAATACGATACGATAACATTTCAGTGGTTTTGATGAAGAATAAGAGAAAGAGAGAAAATACATATAAAAATGATGTATTGAAATATACAAGAAAATAGAAGAAGAAACATAATTGGGAACAGAGGGCAGTGCAAATGGAAAAATGAAAATTTCAATCCTATTTAATATTTTCATATTTTCGTTCATAAAGTCTTCATTGTTTTCCACCTTATTTTGAATACCACTGCACGTGAAATAAAATTTGAAAACATACAAATAATGTAGAATAGAATTAAATAATGAAATAGAGCAGAACAGAACAGATTAGCATAATAGAATAGAAGCACCATGAGCTGACTTGAAAAAATGAGTATATAATTAAATAGATGATCAAGATCATCTATACAATTGTACAGATTGTACGGTACAGAACTTCTGTACACGGGCTTTAAATCTCGGAAAAAACTATTTAGATAATTCGTCAGTATGATTCAATTCTAGATAAGTTCTGAGTATGATACAATTCTAGATAAATCTTGATTGTGATACATTTCTAGATGATTCTTGAGTATGATACAATTCTAGATAATTCTTGAGTAAGACACATTCTAGATAATTCTTGAGTAAGATACAATTCTAGATAATTCTTGAGTAAGATACAATTCTAGATTATTCTTGAGTTAAATACAGTTCTAAAAAAATCTTTCGTATGATTCAATTCTAGATAATTCTTGAGTAAGATACACTTCCTGATAATTCTTGAGTATGATACATTTCTAGATTATTCTAGACATTCTTGAGTAAGATACACTTCTGGATAATTCTTGAGTATGATACTATTCTAGATAATTCTTTAGTATGATTCAATTCTAGATAAAACTTGTGTAAGATATATATTTCTTAAAATCAAAATTCATAAAACTTCTCTTTTGTGTTCACTATTTTTGTTTGCGAAAACTTAACTTACCATTATTCAACGGTTAGGAATTCGTTTTAATGAGTTCACAGTAAGCACAGTAAGCACATTTGTCTCATGCGTTATATGCGTTATATTAACGCATATAACGCATGAGACAAATGGGATGGAAAATTGTTTTAGAAAAATGAAACAACCTTGTGCAACGTATGAAACTTAGAAAAAGGCTTGGACTCATTTAACATTTATCAAAATTATAAAAGAAAATAAGATTTTGTGTATCCTGTATCCTTTATCCTGTATGTCTCTCACTCTCACATTTTCAAAAACTTCAGTCAGACCTTTAACTGTAGTACAGCTGGCGGCAATAAGATAAAGAATCTCAAAATGCTAATGAGTTTTTTGCATTTGAATCTCTAATAGGCCCACACAAAATGGCCGCCGTAAAAAAGCTTTGCGAATTTTCACAAAGATGTCGCTAGTGCCGGCATTCTATTTTTACCTTCATTCTCACTAGCGCTGTGTATCCACCTAACGGGTGGTTGACGAACCATTTAAACCATTTTCCGTTAGAATTTAATGAGGTCAAAAATAGTTTAAAATACCTCCAAAATGTGATGCAGTTTCAGACTGGAATTACGCTTCCAACAGTACTTAGACTGATTTGTCGAAGCGTTTACACCGTGTTTTTGCTGACTATTCAAATTAACGAAAATACAAGAAAATTTTATTTCAACGAGTTTTTACACATAGTAAAGTTTATGACTTGAAGCTTTTTAACACATGCGTAGAAGAAAGAAACTGCACGTTGCACTGAACAGTGCAGTACAGCGGGAATTTTGTAAAACAAAATGCGTACTGCACTCACTGCATACGTACGAGTTCATTAAAGAGATGCTTTTTAGTTGGAAATATAAAAATGTTAAATTAGTATGTCTAGTTGCTGGTTTTAAAACTGAGATTACCAGGGGCGCATACAGGAGAGGGACGAAAGAGGCTAACCCCCCCCCCCTCCCAGAAAAGTGAAAACTATTGTCCCCAGGGGGTCTTCAGCCGGCCCCCGCCACTGAAAAGATAATGAGGACCTACACAGTACACACCCCTCCCCCGGAAAAATTTCTGCATGCGCCCCTCTATAAGTTATGTACAAAAAAAAAGAAATTGCTCCGTNATTTTTGCTTACTCAGCCTCTAGCTTGCCTGGGATTTATAATTAAAAACTAAATATCATCAGTCTTAAAAATAAGATTACGTATATATTGAATTTTGACTGATTGGTTTAAAGGTCAATCAATTGGTTCCTGGCCTGGTTGAGAAAGTACAATTTTTTTACATATTAATTTTCCTTAAAAATATGAGATGAAAGCAGACAGCATTTTATTTTCTAATTTCGTAACTTGCAGAAAATCTTATTTGAATTGGGTAGGGGTTGGAGGTTTTATTTATTTTTCTAAAAACTTTTGATTTTTAATGTTTAGTAAAACATCTTTGTTGGCCTGTACCCTACAAAAAGATTTTCTGCGGTTATTACATTTAAGAAAAAGTTAGAATCTAACTTATTCTTCAAAATTTACAGAATCTGGATTAGGGTTTTTGAATAACAATGGATACTTAGAGAATTTGGCATTGATAAATATTCATTAACCGCAGATGGCGGAAATAATTTTCATTTTTTTTGATAATTTTTAAAAAAACAAGCCTGAGTATAATTTATATATATATTGCTATTTATAGTATTAATAATATCAAAGAAGACAAAATTACGTATAACGAGATTTTTTCAAGTTGGATACATCGGTTACAAAAGGACTATGGAAGGAAGACGACTGAAAGATGAGTTTCGCGGATTTTCAAAAATCCGTCTGACTGAGTGAAAGTCGTCTTCCCTTGCACTGGTTTGATTACGTATATATGTTACCTACAGTCTACACAGTAAAGGTAGAAATAAGTGGATTTTTACAAGTTGAGCGACAATTCCACTGTTTTGAACCACTAGGACTTCCATAAGAAGACCGATAGAAAACGATAAATTTGAAAGGAGTGGAGATAGATAGTTAGAGAGATAGACAGAGTCGCACATGCAAATTTGTTTCCGAGCCGCACCCCCGGCCTCACTGATGGGACATACCCTAAACACACAAGGGAATGAATATTTTTGAATATTTAAAAAAAAAATAATTAGGAAGAAGTCACGAGTAAGATAATCTCAATTTAAACAAAATAGAGCAAGCTATAAATTAAATAAAAAAGAAAAACTAAGAGAATATTTTAAAGTTAATTGATAAATAAATTTGAATTAATGGTGAATGAATGAGTTCTGGAGAAATATATGATGAATGTTTAACAAAGGACCCCTCAGGATGTATACAGTGGCCGAATTTAAAGAATTTGAGCGGCGGTTTAAATTTAAGCCGCGGTTTAAATATGGTTGGTTCCACTTAAAATTGTATCAAATTTAAACCGGGTTTTAGTGGATTTAAACCGCGGCTCAAATTCTTTAAATTCCATCTCAGGATGATCGAATGCCAAATCAATAAACTTTAAATAGATATGTAATTAGATTGAATTTTAAAATTATTATATAAAGAATGAATGATGAATGATGAATAAATCTAGAAAGAAAAAATTATGAATTAACATATAAATAAAGAATTTTAAATGATTATGTAAAGTATGAATGATGAATGATGAATAAATCTAGAAAGAAAAAATTATGAATTAACATATAAATAAAGAATTTTAAATGATTATGTAAAGTATGAATGATGAATGATGAATGAATTTATAAAGAGATAATGCTGAATGAATGTAGAATGAATAAATTCTAAATGAATAATGAATGAATGTATAAAGAATAAAGGATGAATTTATAAAGAATAAAGTATGAATGAATAAAGAATAAATGATGAATGAATGTGCAAAGAGTTAATGCTGAATAAATGCTGAATAAATAATGAATGAATTTAGGTTGAATGAATTTAGGATGAATGTATACAGAATGAACGAATTTAGGATGAATGTATAAAGAATGAATGATGAATGAATATATTAAGAAAGAATGAAAGAAGGATAAATGTAGAATGAATATAAGCTGAATGAATGTAGAATAAATGGTGAATGAATGTATAATGAATTCCGAACCTGAGAATGCATGGAATGCATTGAATGCATGTTGTCCTGCGGGGACTCGTCCTCCATAACCTTGTTGGAGTACATCTTGTCCTGGAACATATTCTTGTCCTGGTATACATTCTTGTCCTCCGGTCCTCTGTCTTCTCTCTTCTTTGTCCTCTCCTGCTCGTTAATTTCCTTGACGGCTCTCAGCTCCTTCTTCAGTTTCATCCTCCTTTTTAAGATTAATAAAAATAATTTAAAAAAATAAAAAACCGAAAATTTTGAATATTACGGAATAAACTAAAGATTAAAAATGAAGTAGGTAAACTTGAAGAAAATGAACCAAAATTTGAAAATTTACCTATTTTGAAACCATATTTTGATCTGTCGTTCAGTTAAGCAGAGCGCATGGGCAATCTCAATTCTACGCCTGAAGTTACAGATTTTAGATTTGTTCAAAGTGTCCTTTAATGAATATTTGTGGATTGTCTCTTTAAAGACGGATTGTCTGGGTGTATTATGTATTAATATAGTGTAACTGAAGGGTGTGTCTGTAGAAAGTACCATGTTGTACACCTGACATAAATTCTGTGTTGTACACTGGACAGTGAAATCTAAAGGGTGATCCAGAATAAATACAAGACAATCCAATAAAAGTAGAACTAGGGGGAGAGGGGTGTAGGTTTTGTTTACAATTTGTCTTTCTCGAGAAGAATTGAGCCTTTTTAAGATTATATTTTGTCCTAAGCTTCACTTGGATCCCATAATAATGTGTTTTTGCCAATTATGACGTTTTAAGGAACCAAAAAATACTAGAAACAGACTTTTCTAAATAATAATAAATACAAACCTGCGTGTAAGGTAGTGGTTGAAATGAAACTCCTTCTCTAGTTCTAATCAATCATCATTCATTTTATTGTTTAAAATGGGATAAACAAAACAAATGAGAAAATGTAGGATAATTTTTTATTTGGTTAAAGGGACTAAGCGTAATTTCAAGTGACCTGCATGCAAAAATAGCAATGCCCAAGGTTATAATGCAAGGAAAGTTATTTCAGAGGCGTACGCATCTTTTGTACTGCAGTGTACTGTCACTGGGCGGTAATGTAAACATAATACGGATGTCGAAGCCTGTCATAGGATCCATCTTTCACATAAAAAATCAATGAAATATTCTGGTCATAGGAAACTATTATGTGAATTATCAAAATTATTAAAATTTAAGGCTTTTAACCTCCTCGGATACTAAACGAACACTGATGCATCTATTCTTGTTTACAAATTCCGCCCAGAGAGAACTGGTTTCATTATGTAAGCAGATTATACGCAACAGCAATTAATTTTCCTTGCATTATAACCTTGGCAATGCCGGATTTCATCGGTATCCTTAATAAATTTGTCTGATCAAGTATGAATAAGATATCAATGTTTTTGTTTCTATAGACTGGTTATTTTCAATTGTGGTTTCCCTACAAAAGTGACTTGCGTTATGTTCATTTCTCCAGCAGTATAAAATATTGGAATTATCTGAGCCAAAACCTTTTTAACCTAGGAAAACGATAATATCTTCCACATTATTGGTCAGATAAAAGTTTCAACGGTACCGTTGTGAATCGGACATTGTCATCTTTTCATGGAAGGTCTCTTGATAATACGCTTACGGTCTCCTTAAGCACTTTCTCGATTAAATGCTTTAGCCTAAAGATTTTTTACTAATATCTGGGCTAAAATGTAACTAAACTGGAGAATATCTGGGCTAAAATGTAACTAAACTGCAGAATATCTGGGTTAAAATGTAACTAAACTGGAGAATATCTGGGTTAAAATGTAACTAAACTGGAGAATATCTGGGTTAAAATGAAACTAAACTGAATAATATTGGGGCTAAAATGTAACTAAACTGGAGAATATATGGGCTAAAATGTAAATAAACTGAAAACTTTCGGGGCTGAAATGTAACTAAACTGGAGTATATGTGGGCTAAAATGTAAAAAAAAACTAGAAAATATCTGGGATAAAATGTAACTAAACTGAAGAATATCTGGGCTAAAATGTAATTAAACTGGAGAATAAATGGGCTAAAATTTAACTAAACTGAAAAAACGGGGCTAAAATGTAACGAAAACTGGAAAATATCTGGGATAAAATGTAACTAATAATGGAGAATATCTGGGTTAAAATGTAAACTTAAAATGGAGACTAAATGATGCTGACATGGCGATTATAAACCTAAAACCTGAATTATTAACAATTGAATGTAATCCCTAAAGTTTGAAACCTCGTATAGGTTTGTCGACCCCTCCTCCTCGGACAACCGTTAGGTCCTAGAATAAAAAATACTTATAAACTGCAAAAAATTAAAATAAATATTTAAAAACTTACCTCCCCAAGGAAAACCCTGCAAGGAACCGTTGATAAACCGTTCTAAAAAAGAAAATGAATGAATTATATTTTCTAAAATTTTCTTGAATATTCTGATGTTTTCAAGGAATATTTGTAGCATGGTCAATTACGGCTTGGACCCTTTCCAAGTTCCCATTTTTAGTACAATAAGGGGGGGGGGGGGGGGGGGTCATGGAAATGGGGACTTATAGCCTGGGGTGGTAAAAAGAGCTTAGCACAAGTGCAACATGCATATTGTAAACAAGGATAAAGCTAGTAGAATCCTAACCACCTTCAAGCGCCGCCATTAAAACCATCTCAAGGTCAAGAAACGCGGGAAGATTCAAGAAATATTCATTTTTCAAGGATTTTTTAGCAGATTCCTTAAAATTCCCGCATTTCTGCTCCCAACTTTAAAATCTGTGCATATTTACACAGATGAGCACACTCACACGCTGTATTTAAGCACGTAAAATATTTTAGTGCGCAGTAAAACATTTAATAATGGTTTAAAATTTGATGAGTTGGACATTTTAGGGAAGGGGTGTGTACTGTGTAGTGTACAGGGGTGCAACGGAAATAGCACGAGAGAGAGAGAAGGGGGAGGGATTAATTGCTGTGTTTAAGCTGGTCTTTTAATGTTAGAACATATAAAACTTGTTAAACGTTTATAATTTTGCTTTAAGATAAACATTCTGCTTCAACCGCCAAGATTCAGGGACACATTGTAAAAGATAAAATATGGTTTGTGAACGAATAAAATCACGTTTTTTATTAATATAGTTAAGTTTTCGTTCTTTAAAATGTCTGTATATAAAAAATGTCAATTTTTTTATGTTACATGAAATGATAATACATCTAACTTAAGGTGGATATACAAAGTACAACCCCCCCTTTGTCCGATCTAAATTTAAATTTTATGTAAGTAAAAAGTGAAATCATAAATTTTTTACTAAGTAAAAGTCCAAATCAAGTGCCAAACCCCTAGTTTCCCGTTGTAAACTCAATTTAAGAAAAGAGACCCCCTTAAATTGTTTTCAAATGTAATCTATCCGAAACCTAATGAAACCCCCCGGAGAAAAATATAAGATTAAATTTTTCTATTATGAAGGTCCATAAACTTTCATTAGGGTCATGCTTGTTACCACAAAAATTTGGCCCAATCGGTTCAGCCGTTTGACGTTTATTGAAGACAGACAGAGAAGCCAAATATATATATATATGGAGTATTCATAGAAAATATAGAAAATTTAGCCAGTTTTTAAATATGTCATACTTTTAAATCGCCCTGAATGATGTATCTATTTCGAATTGTCCTATTGTCAACTATTGTCCGAACTGTAGAATAAAACGGGTATATACGAGCAATATAGCTGGTTTACTACCCTTATATACAGTATTATACAAACCAGTCAAGTACAAATACTGGAGTCGTCACTTCCCTTTCCAGTTTTTATCTAAACTATTTTTTATTAAAAATTTCAAACTATTTTTGTATCCATTGAATTCAAACTTTTAGGAATAAATTAGAAGCAGGTGCCTTTCATATAAATGGAACGGAAATTATTAAATGCAAACAAAGTAGAAAGAAAGTAGAGGAGAGGGGGCTGGGGGGCAGACTTAAAAGGAAGGGGGTGGTAAAGTAAAGGGATGGGTAGGGGGGGGGGGGNAATTTTAAAATAAAACTCAACAACCTAAATTGTTTGTTTATCTTTTTTTGAATTTCCACGGGCAACACAGGGCACTAGTATTCAAATATAGTCTCTCAACCCTTTCATTGTTTGTATAGTTATCAAGTGTGTACGAGACTATTAAATCTACATACAATTATAATTTAAACTAATTACTCCCTAATTTATCCTCATTAAAACAATTGTATATAATTTATTGTTTCTTTTAATGTTTTTAATAATAATAAAATGAATACTCTTTTTGAAATTTTAAACATGTATAAAGAAACGGAAAATTTGCCATTTGTAGAAAGGGTAACAAACATTAATTATGATACAGGGTGTCCCAATAAACATAAGAATTAAATGACTGTATCGTCTTTGTTCCATGCGATATTATTTAGTAAACATAATTATGCAGTATCACAGTTAAACATTTAACACCGAAAAATAACAGTCTCGGGATTTCTAAAATGTTAACCTTCAAAATTGACGGAGATACTACGAAATTCTTCTAGATTCCGGATTTTAAAAATCAAATATTTAATATCTCTGTCATGTTTAAAGATACAAAGAAGGTTGAACACATTTTGGAAAACTTATTAGACTTAAAATTTATTTTTTGATGTACTTAATGTCATTTATTAATCATTGGAAATCAACGAAATTATTCATGTCGTTTCTTATTTCCCATGTTTATTGGGACACCCTAAATTTTCTTGATGTTTGGCAACTGCACCCTTCCCCCCCCCCCCTATATCTAAAATAATTTTCCCCCTCCCCTCGGTGAGAGGGTTGCTCTCAAACCGCCATTTTGTTGTACTGTTTACATACTGCAGGTGTACTTCACACAATTGTGCTATATAATCTTTTGGGCCCTGGAATATCATTTTATTGAACACATTTTTTTTGGAAATTATTTTATTTTCTCTAAATCAATTCTCTGACAACCTGTCAATGTCATTCACTCCCGAGTTTATTTCAGCATAAGTCTTACTTCACATTCCCAAGATCATTTCAGCACAAACTTTATAAAAAGAATAAATTGTAACGGATATGTCCAGGGATCATAGTCTATTATTATGATGTACTGCGTATAATTTGTGAACATTTACATGAATTGTACAGTTTCTTTTCAGGCTCAAAGGGACTAAACAAATTCAAACCGAGGGATAGTCTTATTTCCCTTCTATTCTAATCCCTGTTCTGTGCATATGTAGCTTTAACTCTGTATGAAGGAAAGGGTGAAAGAGTGTAGGGTTGGAGGAGGAGAGCTAATACGTAGGGTTGAATTTATGAGACCGCAGTCGGAAATATTTCATAACATGGTGTTTAAACCAAATTGATTCCGCCATACTTGGAACCATGGAGATCCTATCTTGTTATTTCATTTTTAGATTTCATTTTCTTCATCTTTATTTTCATCTTCACTGTAGCTTCATTTTTATCAAAATCGTCTTTCTCATCTTCATCTTCATCTTCATCTTCATCTTCATCTTCATCTTCATCTTCATCTTCATCTTCATCTTCATCTTCATCTTCATCTTCATCTTCATCAACCCCTTCATAATGCACAAATACAACAGATTAAACGCACACTCAAATATGCGGACAAACAGGACTAAATGCCCCTCTCCTTTTAGGATTAATATCATGACTTAGCTAATTAATCCTTCTGATATTCTTAGTTAGGAGCTAAACTAAATAAATACAGGGTGTTTCAAAAGTATAGAACCAAACCCAAATCTTACATTTTATTCGGAAAGTCTAACGTTTTGGAAATAATGTATTTTTTAAATTTATCTTTTGCATTGTTCTTTTTTTTGCAAGACCTGATTTTTTGTGGACGTGCCGCAATTAAGGTTCAATTAAGTGGTATAAATATACGCCTTCTTATCTTCTTGTTCTAGTGGTGGATTAATTGCAAATAGGTGGAGATAAAACCAGGATAAAATACGCAATTTCAAACCATCAACTCATTAAACGACTTCTCACACTTTTCAAGACTATCTACACAGATATGAAAATAATGCATACACTTTTGAGATCGGGCCGACATTGAGCCTACTGGTGGGTAAAAGTATCATTTCTTTTTTATAAAAACTGTGATATTCAATTGTTGATTTTTAAAAACTTAAAGGGACTGTAAGCGTAATTTTAAGTGACCCTCAGTGAAAAGATTAGTTAAAAACTTTTGAACCTAGAAAAACGACAATATCTTCCACAATATTAATCAGATAAAGGTTTCAAGGATACCGTTGTGAATCGGGCATTGTCATCCTTGAATGGAGGGTCACCCAAGCCTACGCTTACAGTCCCTTTAATATGGTCAGGGGCGTACTTAGGAAGTTGTCCAGGGGGGGCTTTTAATTTTTTTTCTTTCCAGGGG